CTAGTTCAGCCTGGATGCCCTCTCCTTTCCAGCTTTCTCAGTTTGGCTCCTCCCACCTAACCTTCTGTTCAGCTATTAGCCAGGCAGTTTCTTTATTAAACCAATCACAGCAACATATAGTCACACCGTGTATAGGAATATTCCATTGCATTTTCTACCTTTCTTTTTAACTTTGAGGATTCTTTCCCCTTCATTTGAATTAGAGGGAGCCTCAGAGCTGATCCACCCCAGCAGACGCCAAAGATGTCAGCGAGTAGTGTTGGCCTCTGAATGGGAGGGTATTTTCTAACTTCCTGGTTTGGCCTCTAATGCTCTCCTCCACTCCTCCCTCACCATGCCCACACCCCCACAGACCTTGAGTAGTGTTCAGCATGATGGTGACTATTAGTGACTCTTCTCTCTGTTGTGAACAATACCGGTCCAAAGTACCTGAGGGAAGGGAGGGTTGCTTTTGTCTGAGACCTTGAGTTGGGAGTCCTGGTAAAGAAGCTATGTGGGAGGAGGTAAGGTCTGGGCTCTGGGCCCTCAGTCAGGAGTCAGAGAGAATTCGGGGCTGGTACTCATCCCACTTCCCCCTCTTTAAGCAGTCCAGGACCACAGATCATGGAATGGCGGTGCCTAACTTTCCATCTCCACTGACTCAACCTAGAGACTTTCTCATTTGAAGAGGTGTTTCGTAAGTGATTCTAGATCCTTGCCACTTAACAAGCAATATCACTACCATAGTGGCTTTCTGGAGCTGCCCTTGTTGTCCGGAGGAGGGAAGAGACCTCCAGTCCAAAGTCAGTGTTCTGTAGTTACAAGTGAATCCCAGGTAGATGCTCTGCTCTCAAATGAAGACAGGCAGGCTGATTGAGCTTCACCCATGACCTGTTCACAGCAGTGTTGACCACTGCCTGGCTTTATCCTTGTTCACATCTCACACTTCTGTAATGAACACTGAGTCACCACATCAGCTCAAGGCTCTCTCACATCTAGTGTTCTCTGAGACATTTTGAGGAAAACCCTTCATCGCCCTTGGTGCTTTGTATAAATCTATGCCTTAAAAAAAAAAAAAATCAGGTCAGCCAGAGCTATATACAGCAATCCTATATTCCAATCCCTACCCCCCACCAAAGAAAAAATTCATCCAGGCAGTAGTGGCCTTTAATCCTAGGACTTGGGTGGCAGAGGCAGGCAGATCTCTGAGTTCAAGGCAAGCGAGTTCAGTGACTGACATGGGGCCCCATGTTTTGTATCTGTGGAAGTGTTGACATTCTGATAAACCATTTCCTACAGTTACAGGGATTTTGAACTATCTTATTTGTTTTTAAGTTATTTGTGTATATGGGTGGGGGGACACAGCATGCACGTGAATGCCAGAGGGCAGCTTGGTGGAAAGGGTCCTCTCTTTCCAGGTTTATGTTTGTTTGGAAGGTTGAACCCAGGTCAGCACTCTTGATTGTTTGTGAAGGGCCTCTACCTGCTAAGCCATCCTACCAGCCCTAAAATGGTTTGCTTAATGCCTGTATAAATTTCTCTGTTTCTTAGATGAAGCTGAAAGTGAACATTTCAAGTTTCTCTGTAAGTCACCCTAGACCAGAGATACAGTGTTCATAACACAGAGAGCCGCTGATAGCCTGGCCTCTCTGCCCCTCAAATGCACCAGACAGACCAAAGCTCTGAGTCCTTTGGTGAGAGGAACTACCCACCTCCTCCATGTTGGATTACCAAACTCAAGGGAGGGGTTGCCCATGAACACTTACTTACCCATGAACCTTCCTTATGGCCATGGTTCTCAGGTGGAGGTCAGAGGACAATTTGTGGGAGTCAGTTCTCTCCTTCTACTGTGTACGTTTCCAAAAGGGAACTCAACTCACCAGGCTGCTACTAGCTGTCTTGTTTTGTTTTAAGCCACACTTAAAAACTGATATATAAAAACAAAATGCCACATAGAAAGAATTTTGAATATAATAATTCTCCAACTTATGAACTGCAAAGCATCAAGTTTTGGGTCATCAAAAAGGGAATTTATAATCCCAGTACTGGGAGGCAAAGACAGGAAAATTGAGTTCGAAGCCAGCCTGTGCTATACAGCATGACCCTATCTCAAAGCAAAAACAAATAAAATGCTATATTTATTTATTTATTTATTTTTGTTAGGCAAAAGGATTAACAAAGACCACCCAGTGTAAGTGAGGAAAATAAGTATTGGATATTCTGTGCCTAGGTCAGAAGTCACACCTGCCATTTACAGACTGGTGGCTTAAGAGCTCCAAGTTCCACCTTCTTCAGAAACAAAATAGTTTGTAATAAAACACTATCTAATATATTCAAAATACTGCATGAGAGTACTGAAAGGTGGAATGAGATGATACCTTATTATAAAGTACTCGGTTCAGGGCTACAAATAAGAGCTCAATAAACAAAAAGCTGTTGAAACATGCACTGCAAGGCAGCCTGTGTCTGTCAAGTAACTTAGATAGGCCATATAATGTGAGTCAAAACATTTTCCTGGGGGCTAGGGAGATGACCCAGTCAGCAATGTGCTTGCTGTGCAAGCATGAGGGTCTGAGTTCAGTTCCCAGCAACTATGTGACAGTGGGCACATCCTGCACATCTTGTTGTCTCAGTCAAGGAGAAGTGGAGACCGGAAGGTCTCCCCAGTGCCCTGCCAGCCAGCCTTGCTAACCATCAGGGAGTTTGGGGTTCACTGAGAGACTCTGCTCTCCCCCCTCCCTTGCCCCAACAAAATGGAACTGAGTGGTGAAAACAGTCTTACCACATGAGTGTACATGTACACACACACCTATGCAAATGGCATGTACATATGCCACACCACACATACACACACACAATGCCACATGCGCACCCCACTTCTCTACAGTGCATTTTATTAGCAGTATCTGAACACTTACCTCTCCTTATGGTCAGGAACTGGCTGACAGGGACATCAGACACCTGTGGCATCTCCTGGTCCTCAGCCTCTGGATTTTCTTAATGTCTTGCTCTTGGGCCAGTAACACAATTCTTATCTACCTTTGCCTAGGAGAATGACTAACCAGGAGGCGGGAGTGATATGTTTCTGCTGATTTCTGGTTTTTTTTTTTCCCTGTGCTGTGAATGAACAAGAAATACAATTAGCCAGGAACATTTTAGTCCTGCTGGGTGAGTTATAAAAGGCCCTACTCACTTGTAAGGTAATTTTGTTTGTTTTTCAGTGCTGGGATTTGAACCCAGGGCCTTGCAAGTGCTAGGCAAGTACTCTGCCACTGAGCTATGTTTCCAACCCCATTCTTGCTGTCAAATAATTTAGAGGTTCCATAGTTTGAAGACAGCTAAATACTGGAAAGAGTACTTGGATCTATCTCTGGTATATGTTAGCATTTTATCTATTGCCCAGTCGTGAGCTGTATTACATGTGCACTGCACTACTGCTAGTCACACTAGCAGTTACAATCATAGCACTTATCGAGTGCTTACCAGGTATCATTATATTTACACATTAATTTGTTTAGTCCTCACTAGACAGTCATCAGTCCCCGTTTGCAGTAATGCAAAAAGGCCCTGATGATTAAGGAACTTGTCCAAGCCGCTATAGCTTAAAATTTCCATCATCTGTTTAAACCTTCTTAGTTCTTCTACACTATCAATAACTTTTTATTTACTTATTTAGAGAATTTCCACAAGTTCTCAGTGTAGAGGTATTTCTCCTGGAGGTATTTATTTGTTTATTCAGAGACAAGTTCACCCACTCTGTAAGCCAGGTTGACCTGTCCCAGCAATCCACCTGTCTCGCCCTATCACATACTGGGATTACAAGCTTGAGCCATCTTTCTGTCTGAAAAGGGAATATTATTAAGCCTCTTGCATTTGGGGTTTATCTGGTAGTGAGGTAGGACCTTCGAATCACTGATATTTTAGTATCATTGATAGAAACCTTCAGAGACTATGAAAAAAATGGGAGCATATTTTAAGGTGAAGATAAATGGGGTGGCAGCCCCAGTTAAACACAGTAGACCACAAAGTAAAACCAAAAGAAGGGGTTGGAAAGATGGTTCAGCAGATCAAAGTGTTTGGCATCAAGCCCGATGCTCTGAGTTCAATCCCAGAGACTACCACGTGGGAGGAGAGAATCAACTCCCAAAGTTGTCCTCTGACCTCCACTTGTCAGCGGTAGCCACAGATTTAATCCGAATTGTTTCTTAAATTAAATGTTTTGCTAATGGATTCCAGTCTCAAGCTAATCCTCTTGAACAGTTGAGAGGAAAGATCTGCACTCCTATGACTTGCTGGGGACTCTTTTTGAGGGAGGCAGTGTATTCATTTTCAAGCTCCAAACTGTAATTTTTCTTTGGCCGGGGTGGTGAAAGCTCATGGGGCGGCACTAAGAGCGGTTACTCTGCTTTGCCTTCAGATCCTTTATTAAAATGTGAGTGGCGCACAGGGTTCCCCTAACCACACCCCATTGAAGTGACCAACAACAAATACCCTTTCTGAAGGGGTTGCTGTGCACAATATCTGGGCATGTTCCCTTTGAATGGCCGTCATTTGGAAGCGGGCCTGTTTGGAAGAAATGATTTGGGTCAATCTATTGAACTAGGAGTATCGGGTCATCAGTGGGGTCAGTAGAAAGTCTCTCTGGCATATTATGAAAGGAGACTATGCTTGGCTTTTTCGATGGCAGAGGAACTTACATCTACCACAAAGTATCCGGGCTTTGGGGTGCTGATACAGTTTATGCATACACCGGTGTGGCAGCCATGTGCCCTGGGCTGCCCATCTTTTGCTCCTCCGTAGAAAGATTAACATGGAGACCTCCCCCCCTAAAAAAAGGGGAGATGGTGATACTGTGCCATGAGGGAGTAACAGAAAGGATCCCTGCTCTTTGTGAATAAGGGCTCTGATGGTGGGCGCAGGAATGGGGGTTAAGTGAAGAATGAGATACCGTTTAACCAAAGGCAAGGCAGGGAACGCCTTTAAGGGCAGCTGACCCCACCAGCCCATATGGAATCTGCTCTGCGACTCGCGTCTGGGCACGTAGGCACGGGTGTGCAGTGATCACTCCCACTGCAACCCAGGTCCTTATCAGCAGCATTCATAGATCTCTAGTGGCCCGGAGGTGGGGGTGGAGGAGCTGGAGGAGCGGGACCATTGGGTGCATCCCGCCTCCCTGTGAGGGTGGAGGTGGGGATCTAAGAAGATTGGCACCCCCATGCGCCCCTCCTCCCAGCAGCTCTCCACTCCAGCACAGTCCTAGAAGGAGACACAGGCCGGTGGCTACCTGCCAAGTCAGGCTTGGGCGGTGAGGGAGGAGGGGCAGGGGCCCCGGGAGGTGGCCTTTGCGATACCGGGGCCACTCCCGCAGACTCTGGCCGTGCGGGCGCGAGCTGGCTGTACAAAAGGCACCCGTGGGGCAGGGCGAGCCTGCGGCGTGAGGTGGGCCCCAGACCCCCCACCTGTTGCGGGGCGAGGCGGGCTGCGGAGATGGGCCGCTACTCCGGCAAGACGTGCCGGCTGCTGTTCATGCTGGTACTCACCGTGGCCTTCTTCGTGGCGGAGCTGGTGTCCGGGTACCTGGGCAACTCCATCGCGCTGCTCTCGGACTCCTTCAACATGCTGTCTGACCTGATCTCGCTGTGCGTGGGCCTGGGCTCCGGCTACATCGCACGGCGTGCTTCCCGCGGCTCGGGCGCCACCTACGGCTATGCTCGGGCCGAGGTGGTGGGCGCGCTCAGCAACGCTGTCTTCCTCACCGCACTCTGCTTCACCATCTTTGTGGAGGCCGTTCTGCGCCTCGCGCGGCCCGAGCGCATCGACGACCCGGAGCTGGTTCTCATCGTGGGCACTCTGGGGCTGGCGGTCAACGTGGTAGGGCTGCTCATCTTCCAGGACTGTAGCTCCTGCTTCGCAGGATGCGCGCGGGGCCACCGGACCCGCCCTCCGCAGCCGCCACACCCGGGGGGCCCTTGTGGCGCTCTGGGCAATCCCCAAGGGTCTGTGGCAGCTACAGCCCCCAGCTCAGATGCAGTAGTGACTCTCCGGGGGGCCTCGGCCGGAAGAAAGCTGCAGGAGGGCGCAATCGTGTTCTCAAATGTAGCAGGTGCCTTTCAGTTGCATCCTTCTGGGCTGGGACCGCTTTGTCTCCCTCCATGCTCCCTTCTCCCCCAGGCATCTCGCCCCATTTACTCATCCACTCCCTCCTTTGCCTTTTGTTTCCTGACTTTTTTTAAAAATCCTCTTCGCAGCTCGTTCTGCCCCTCTCCTAACTTAACTTTCCCTCCTTCCTTCTCTTCTTTCTTCCTTCTCTGCCTTCTTCCCTTCCCCCATTTCTCCCTCCCCCCCCTTTCCTCCTTGACCCTGTAGTCCTTACCCTCTCCCTTCTCCTTATGTCAGTATTGATCTTGGAAATCAATTCTTACTATTGGGCAATAGAGAACACTCTCCATTCCTCCCCTTCCCTGCTGGATTTGTTTCCTGCCTTGACCCATCAATGTCAGGGCTCTCCTCTGCTCCTTGGGTATTATGGGTTTGGGGGTAGGTGCAGGCTTATACTTGTCCCATTTTAAACTTGAAAAGTGTGTGTGTGAAGTCCAAGCGTGGACCGCTGGCTTCCCCTGGGTTGAAAGGCTCCTGTCTGGGCTGAGTGCGAGGGTGGGGACTACCATATGCTAAGAGGGATTGAAAATAACAAGACTGCATTTTGAGTTCATTGGTTCTTTTTGTTTGTAGAACTTATACACAACACAAGGTTTCTTCTTTGAATGCAGGTGATTCTCTGAACACCCAGAATGAACCAGAAGAGATAACGAAAAAAGAGAAAAAGTCTGAAGCACTGAATATCAGAGGTAGGTTGTCTTTGGGCTAGCTTGGAACCCTTTCCCATAGCTCACGGGGCTGTCCAGCTTTCAGTAAGGCAACGTGTGTTGGAAAGTAGGTCAGTCACCTGTAGACTATGACCCTCTTCTCTTGCCTAATCATTGCATTGATTCTGAGGGAAAAACTAGTTGCTAATGATTTATCTTTGCTCTAATTAAGCCACGCTATCGCTGCCTGTTCACAGATAAGTGCCATGTTCCTCTGAATTACACATGTGTGTCATGTCCACTGATCCCATGCCAGTGTTCCTGATATATATATGTTCTCCTCAAAGTTACATGTGTAGTATGTTTTCCTGGTCCACACATATCAATGCCATGTTCCCCTGATTTCCATGAGTCATGTTATTCTCATATCCACACATGTGACATGTTCTCCTGATGTACATACATCAGTCGTATTCTCTGGACCTCCACATGATCAGTGAAATGTTCTTCTGATCTCCACATATGAATGCCATGTTCTTCTGATCCCCATATATCAATACCATGTTCTCCTTACGTCTACATATGTGTCATGGTCTCACTCAAATGTGTCGAGTTCCTGTTCCCTACATATCAGTGTCATGTCTCCTGATGTCCACATGTAAGTATCATGTTCTCCTGATCTCCACACATCAATGTCATGTCTCCTGATGTCCACATTTGAGTATTATGTTCTGGTGATCTCCACATATGTGTCATGTTCTTCTCATATCTACATATGTTTCATATTCTCCTGATTCCCACACATCAGTATCATGAACTCTGTAATCGGCCAGGTTGGTCTGAGCCGATCTCCACACGTTAGTGTCACATCACTGCTATACTTGGTTTGCTGCTTTCATGAATATCACTGACATACAGTGCATCCTTTTAAGATTGTGTGTGTGTGTGTGTGTGTGTGTGTGTGTGTGTGTGTGTGTGTGTGTGTGATGCTGGGCATGGAACCCAGGGCCTTGTACATACTAAACACACGCTGTGCTATGGATCCACACCCAAAGCCACACTGGAGTTTATTTTAACTGGCTATGATTTTGTTTGTTTGGAGACAGGGTCCTCTTAAACAGCCAAGGCTGGGTTGCACTCAATATTTAGTACAGGCAGACCTGGAACTTGTGACACACTCCTCCTTTCTTATATCCCTCACTGCTGGAATTCAGCATATTTACCACTATGCTTGGTGTTGACTATGATTTTGCTAAAGGTGCAAAACAAAACAAAACACCAAGTTGGTCCACTACCCAAGCCTGTGTGCCCTCACTCAGTGGATGTTTGTGACAGCAGCCAGGTACTACTACTGTATGTTACAAAAAAGCTAGGAGAAAAGGCTTTGAATATTTTTTTTTACCATAAAGAAAATAAAAAGGGAACTAGATATTTACTTAATATTGCATAGTAGGGACATGTGTCAGAATAGCACATGGAGTTTGGCTTAGTGGTTCAGAACAGTCACCTCAGCGCTCCAGAGGCTAAGGGAGAAGTGTGAGTTGGAGACCAGCCTGGACCACATAGCAGGGCCCTGTCTCAAAACAGAAAAAGGAAAAGAAAGGATCAGAACAAACATTCCCCCCAAACAGTTCAGTACAATCCCCCAACATGGTCAGATTTTTATCAGTTAAAAGAAGGTTTTCCCTCCCACCCTGTCAGGGAGCTGTGACACACACTCTACACTTAATCTTCACCCCATCCACAGCTTTCTTTTCAGCTGAAGTTCATGATGGTTTGGGCCCTAAATTCTGCTTAGCAGAGTTTAGTCATCATTAGGATGGAATGAAACAGAGCAGAACAGGGAAATACATCATAAGGGTGGCATTTGTTCCCTTTTGGTTCAGCTTGTATCTCCATGTGTGCTGGGATGCAAAACAAAACTTTTAGTGTAGACTGTGGGGACCAGAAGTGTGAGAACCACTGTTGTGTGGGATTCTAAGTGGTCAAGTGTGGGAAACCTGGGGTGGGGACTGGAGCCTGTGTAGGACAGGATGCAACAGCCCTCTATCCATACTTCCCGGGGCATCCATGTTCCTCTATCACTTTGATGCTGTTCTCGGGAGATTCACACTCTGTAGTCCAGGCTGGCCTTGTAACTAGCCGTGATTCTCCCTAAACTCCTGAGTGCTTGGATTACAGGCCGGGGCGCGGCCCTGCCTTCCCCCCCTTTTGCTTTAATGGGGGGGGGACATTAACAATGAAAAGGAGAAGGGGTTCTCTTGGGGGACAATTTTTTGGGGGGGGGCCCCAAAGAAACAAGGGGGGTCGCGGGGGTGGGGGGGGGGGGGGGGGGGGGGGCCGGGGGGGGGGGGGTTTTTCTCCTGTGGGGGGGGGGGGGGGGGGGGGGGGGGGGGGAGAACGGGAGGGGGGGGGGGGTTGTTGATGGCTGTGTCCTGTGCTTTGCAACCACCAGTGGCAAGGGACAAGCCATTTAACAAGGGGCGCGGCCGAGGGGGGCCCCCCCCCCCCCCCCCCCCCCCGCCCGGTGGGGGGGGGGGCCCCCCCCCCCCCCCCCCGCGGGGGACTTAGCCATTCAGTGCCTCAATTTCCCCCTTTGTAGAGTGGAGAAGGACTCTCAGGTGTGCCTTGGGGGCAGGCCCCCCCATCCTCCCTCTCCATTTTACTCTCTTTTCTTTTAGCACTGTTTGACATATGGTTCATTCCTGTGCTGTATGCTTTGTGTTCCTATGTCCTCTAAGAGTCCGTTTTCTTCATGTTTAGTTCTTTCCTTCTGGTGAGGACTGGCTGTGGCTGCTGCTGCTGGTGGTGGATGGGTGGGAGTACTGGGTTTATTTTAATCACATCATGAGCTCTGGAAGTTCCTGCACCTTGACCAGAGTCCCCATTTATATATGCTCAAGCTTAGCAGTTCTCTCGGTGACTTCATTGACTGGTTTTGCTCTCTGCATTTCTAAACATATATAGCAGAAGTTCGGCACTATTATTTTATACTGGGTCTTATTATGTAGTCCTGGCTGGTCTGTAACTCACAGATATGTCTGCCTCTGCTTCCAAATTGCTGGAATTAAAAGTGTGTTCCACCACACACTCTTTTAGGGCCAAATACCCTGTCCAGCCCCACTGTTTGGCTTGGCACACCTCCTACCTCCAACATTGTCCTGCTGGAATGTCACCCACTGCTTCTGTAAAATATCAGATACTGGGTGGCCTTTTGGATACTATGCCTTTATGGCCTGGGAAGTTTCATAGTTTTGTTTTTTTTTAATAACTTTTGTTTGTTTGCTTGTGTTTTTCTGAGATAGGGTCTTAATATGTGTCCTAAAAAGGCTTGGAAGCCTCTTTGTAGCCCAGGCTGGCCTGAAAATCCCCATGTAGCTCAGGCTGATCCTGAATTTTCCATCCTTCAGCCTCAGCCTTCTGGGTAGTTGGGTTGTAGGTATCATGCCCAGTCACAGATAATCTTTTAAAAATTATATTTATTATGAATAATATTATTGTATTTATATTTATTTATTGCATGCACAATAAGTACATTATGTGCATGCACATGTGCACATGTGTAGAGGTCAGAGGACAACTTGCAGGAGTGAGGTCTCTCCTCTCTACTACCTGGGGCTTGGGGATAGAACTTCAGTCATCTGGCTTGGCAGCAAGGGCCTTTATCTCTGAACCATAGCTATGGTCTGTTGACAGGTGTCCTCAATGTGAACCTGGTGATTTAAAACTGCTGACTGGTGTGATTTCTGTGGGGTGTGCTGAGTCAAGTGAATGACACCCCTTTCTCAGATCAAGACAGGGCCCATGTGAGATGGAGACTGTTTCTAACAACTTTCTCTTCTTCTCCTCCTCCTTCTCCTTCTCCTCCTCCCCCCTCCCCTCTCCCTCCCTCCCCCTCTCCCTTCTCCTCTTCCTCTCCTTCCTCTTCCTCTTTTGCTGCTGCTCTGATTTCCAGAAGCAAGATTCCCGTGTTCCTTTCAGGAATGCAAATACTTGGTACCTACATTTTTAATCCCTCTGACCAGATTTTCACTGAATTTCCTAAATTCTAACTTAATGTACATCCACAGCCCAGATCCTCTTTGCTGAAGATTGCATATTTTCTGCAGTGAATTGGCTGAGACCTTTAGAACCCACAGCTTTAACCCTTACACATAGAGTTTTAATTTTATGAGATTGCAACAAATGGCTTTTCATTCAGAGGAAACTTCATCAGCATACCTGCTCCCCAGGCCTTCTTAAACTGAGCACCACAGAGATAGCGGAGATAGCGAAAGGCAAGTGAGAAGTACATGAGTGCCTCCAGGAAAAGGGGAGTGGATTGGGACTGAGGGGAGCCAGAGGCCCAAAAGTACAGATCTTGTTCTGTCTGAAACTGTAGCCAAGGTCAAGATGCTTGCCTGGCATGGGTCAGATGCTGGGCTCCAACCCTTTCCACTGTAACCATGAAAACAGCAATAAAAGATGACGGGACCTCCCTCAGGATGATCCCATAAGGGTCTGGGAAGGGAGCCCCCCCCCCCCCCCCCCCCCCCACCCCCCGCCTGGCTCATGGAATATAATAAAGCTACAAACATGAAACCAGTCATGTAGGTGGCGCATGCCTTCAATCCCAGTACTGGGATGACAAAGCTGGGAGATTAGGAGTTTGAGGCCAGACTTGGCTACAATACAAAATGAAACGGACGTTTAAAAGAATTTAATGTTCAGATGCTTGTCTGAAAGAGCAGCACATCATTTGCTCAGCTCTGTTTCTTGTCATGATGCCCTTTGATGGGTGCTGGGAGACACTGGTGTGGCAGTATTTGCTGGTGACACAGGAGGTGACAGCTAGCTCAGGTTCTTCTGAGGCTGTTCCTCTTCCTGTGTTCTCTGGGCCCTGGGTGGCTGGCCTGAGATTTTTGTGTGTTAGTTTAATGTTTTTCTTCCTTTTTAATTTAAAAAATTGAAATTAGAATATAACTTATCATTTACCTTTAAAAATCATTTTTATTACATTTGTGTGTGTGGAGGCAGAGAAAGAGGGAGGGTATGGAAGTTAGAGGATAGAGGCCACCTTATGCTACCACATGGGTCCTGGGAACCAACCCCAGGTAGCAAGTGCACCCACTTTTCTTGAGCTATCATATGGCTGTGGCCTAAGACTTTGTTTTCTGAGTGGTTGGTATTGTTATTTTCTTTGTTTTAGGATGGTCTCACTGTGTAGGTTATGCTGTCCTCCTGCCTCAGCCTTCCAAATGCTGAGATCATAGGTTTATATCACATGCTGGGCTTGTTTAAAAAAAAAAACTCGGGCCTAAACAGTGCTCCAACAGAAAGCAACAGTGAGCATTTGTGAGCTTGGACGACTGGTCATCAAGTGGCTCCAACACCTGGCTCTGGGATTTACTGGTCTGCCTTCCTTCCTGCCAGGTGTTCTCTTGCATGTGATGGGAGATGCCTTAGGGTCCGTGATTGTGGTCATCACGGCCATCATATTCTATGTTCATCCCCTGAGACGTGAAGACCCGTGTAACTGGCAATGCTACATTGACCCCAGTTTGACTGTTGTCATGGTCATCATCATTTTGTCATCTGCCTTTCCACTGATCAAGGAGACTGCTGTCATCCTGCTGCAGATGGTCCCCAAGGGAGTTGACATGGAAGAGCTGAGTAAGTGGGCTGCACACAGACGGGGACCACGGACACTATCATGATCACAGGGCTGTTTGGAAGCACCCTATATCTCCATGTGATGGAGGCATGCTTCATGTGATTGGTGTGTTTTCCTACATTTCCATGTGATGGAGGCATGCTTCATGAGGCTTGCAGACTGGGATGATAATTTACAGCTCCAAGAACCAAAGGTCCTTTGTGGCATGATTCTCTAACTCACACATTTTTGAGAATATAAATCTTGGGCAAAACACACCATTGGACAGTTTGCCCTCATGACAAAGATGTGTTTTAACTCTACGAAGACCACTCTTCAAGGCCTAGATTTTTTTTTTTTTATACTTTTTAATATACACCTTTATACCTTTTCCCCCTTAAAAGGATACTCATTCACGGCATATATAATGCTTTCTGGTTAGCTGACATTCATGAGCCCGGACATTACTCAGTGGCACATCACACTGTAAAAAGGCCGTGTTAAGGGCCCCTCCTCAGTCTAGAGTGGAGCCTTCTCATTTGCTTTGCTCAGGTAGAAGCCAGATGCTCACCTCAGTTATGTGCTTTAGAGGCTAGAAGTTTCAGAGGCTTTGAATATAGATGTAGCATTCTGGTAAGTGATTTTGATCCATGCTGCTAAATTAGCCCATCTATCTTTCTGCCTGCCTGCCTGCCTGCCTATTATCTCTCTACCTACCTGTCTTTATTATCTATCTATTCATATATTGATCTATCAATCATTCATCTAAATATTTATCAATCATTTACCTTTGTATCATCTACATATCTAATTATCATCTAACAATTACTCGTTTATCACCCATCTGTCTATAATCTATGTATCCTGTGTGTGTTATCTGTCTGTCTATCTATCTATCTATCTATCTATCTATCTATCTATCTATCTATCTATCTGAGATAGGGTCTCCCTATGTTGTCTTGACTGGCATGGAACTTGCTATGTAGACCAGACTAGCTTGGAAAAGACTGTGCACATGTAGTCCAGTCTGCTGGGATTGGTCTTGAACTTTCAATCTTTTTGCCTGGGGCTGTTGAGTTACTTATAGGCAAACACTGGTGTAGGAAATCAGAGGGAAGGATGGTTACAGGAAAATGTACTCTTTAGGGACAGCTCTCCTTCCTGTTGGCTATGGTAAACACACAGCCTTGGTGGGCATGATTAGGAACACAGTCCTCTCTCATGGTTCCAAGCTTCCATTCCAGCACTCACTATTGACTGTTGCCTGTTCCTGTCTGTTGCAGTGAGCAAGCTCTCTAGTGTGCCTGGAATCAGCAGCGTGCATGAAGTGCACATCTGGGAACTGATAAGTGGGAAGATCATCGCAACCTTGCATATCAAGTACCAGAAGGACACAGGGTACCAGGATGCCAGCAGAAAAATCCGAGAAATCTTCCATCATGCTGGAATCCACAATGTGACCATCCAGTTCGAAGCAGTGGACTTGAAGGAAACCCTGGAGCAGAAGGACTTCTTGCTGACCTGCAGTGCCCCCTGTGTCTCCCAGGGCTGTGCTAAGAAGCTGTGCTGTCCCCCAGGGACACTGCCACTGGCTCTCATCAATGGTTGCGCCGAACACAACGGTGGGCCCTGTCTGGAGACCTACCGAAGCACAACGGATGCCCAGGAAGTGGCCATTGATATGGCCTTGGATGGCTGTCCAAGGGAGCAGGGACAGACTCTTAGTAAGACTCAAGAGGGACAACATTGTGAAAACAGTACTCATTTTTAGTGGGTTCCCACACAAAATCAGACTGTCTAGACAGGTACTTTGGGACACCGGCTCTGCTTGTGGAAAGAGCTTTGTGGGCGTGTTTGCCGACAGTAGGGGTCAGATGTTTGGGATGTGAGTGGAACAAGCCTGCTGATTTTCAAGTGGTGGGTCATCCCGTCCCACTACCCAGGGCGCCTCAGGCAGTTTCAGTGTGGATATGGATTTCTTAAGGCAGACTTCACTAGCACCTGTATCAGGGATGTTGAAGGCTGGGACTCAGTAACTATGACACAGGACTCAAAGTCAGTCTTGTCTGTCTGTCTTGTGGTGCTGGAGAATTGATCACAGGGCTTGTGTGTGCTAAGGAACTAAGGAACTGCTCTGTTACCGAGATGCACCCTGCAGCCCTTGTTTTTAAACCAATCAGAACTTCTAGCTGACTTTCAGGTGAGCTCAAAGTTTAAGTGGGCAGGGAAAAAATTAAAGCACATTAACTACGATTTCCTCTCCTCCCCTCAAAGATATATATATATATATTTTTAGGTCTGTTCTCGGACCACGAGAAGCAGACACCTAGTAAATAAATGGAAAATGCATAGTTGTTTAAGGTGGATAAACAGGATGCCTGAAGAGGCAGAAAATGCTCTCAACACGTTAGAGGAGGCAGACTTTTCTGGGGTGGATTTTGGATTGTCTCTTTGTTCTGTGAGGTGTGAGGTGGCTAACGTTTACTTTGTGCTGGGAACTAAGCTGCACCTATGATGTTGTAGAAGTTTAATCATGTAACATATTCTTTACATGCACATGTGTGGGGACAGGCTTCTGCTCATTTACTATTTCCCATTCCTGGGAGTCTCCAGGTAGGATTGCTGCCACCTACTGTTTCTGATAATGACTTTCTCGCCCAGATTTCCTCACAGTCCTTTCTGTGGTCACATTGATCCATGTAGCGTTGGCCAGGAGGAGATGAATACTCTGGGGACAGGAGAATACTCACTCCTGCTAAATAAATAAGCTAGCCCGCCTTTGCTTTATTTAGGCACATTTTAAAGTATTTGTTATAGTTGCCAACTAGTAAGTGTATGGAAAAGTTGATACCAACCAAGAAATGAAAAGTAATTTGATTGCTGCTTTTAATGTGTTTGGTGGAGCTTAGAGTTTTATGTGTGACCCATGTTACCAAGTTTAAATAAATTGATTATGATCGGATCCAGACATATAGCTGGACTGCATTGGTAGGAGAGAGTGAAGGAATGTCTGACATGTGTTTTACACCCTGTTTGGGCATCCTTGTTTAATCAAAGCCTCATAGGTATGATGTGGAGATGCCTACTTGAGGGAGCCAGCATCATGTTTGACAAGTTTCAAGGCTGACAGAAAGTGATCTTGTCCTAGGCTATCAGCCTTTATCTTATTGAGAAACTACACAGGGTTCATCAGAAGGGGTGAATGGTCACAGAAACAGCATCTACATTTTCCAGTGCAAAGACCGTTTTAAAGAAAACGTCTTCATTGGGTGTGGTGGCACATGCCTGTGACCCCAGATACTCAGGAGGTCTGGAAAGGAGAAGTCACTTGAGCCTAGGAGTCCAGGCAAAACAATGAGACTCAGCTTTTTGTTTGTTTTAATTATTAGTCTAAAATTTGGAGGCTGTTGGGCAGCTGTGGTCAGGAGTATAGGAATTCTTTGTTCCTTAGGAGTTGATTAGATGTAAATTGACCATCCAAAAGTAAATAGAAAAATGTCTAAAACCTTTCTTATTTCCAGAAATTTATTTGTTAGATTATATGCACTAGGAGGGGAGCAAAGACAAGAATTTCTCTTTTGGGCATCAAACATGTGACAAGCCAGAAAGTTCTCTAGTAATATGTGAGCAGATTTCTCCACATCGACACTGTTTAATGCCTTGTTGAAGCCAAAGTAGAAATTTGTCTCTAACTTCCAAATCTGAATTCATATCTCTCTGCATTATTATTAAGGGAAAAACTATAAATTTTACAGTTTTCCTGCTACTAGCTAAAGGAATGCATTTTAGTTTTCATGAAAGTAACATTCTTTAATTTCTGAAAGCATTTGTTCTGGAAAGAAAATACACTTAATTCCAACATAATTAAACTCACCCTCAGAGAAAATGATCTTGATTGACACCTACATAGCAAATTATAGACAAGAGCAGATATGACACATGGCTTTTTGAAGACAGCCAAAGTGCACTTAATAACATGCAAACAAGTTGAGAGGCTGCAATGTTTTTGCTACATGGTTGTCATCAGCACCTCCAGCCCTAGATGTGTGGGGTTTCCTGAGCCATTGATTTTCCTGTCTTTTTAATTTTCTGAGGGCATTGCACATTTTCCCTCCACAAATGAGCAATCAGCATGCACCCAGTGGACACCACAACATACTTTCTCCAAGCTTAGGTAGATAGTGACACTCAGTTGTGTTCCTGTATACTTAGGTTCATCCTAAAACCCCCAGCCTTCCTGCCTTCCCTTCCTTCCATCCTGCCTGTCTTTATTTTCCCCCTAAAGTGGGGATCAATCAAGGCTGGGGCCTTCTAGGTTTCATTGAAGCATACACTCAACTATTGAGCTATATCCCCAATCTCAAAGACTTTTTTTTTTTTTTTTTTTTTTTTTTTTACAGCCGGTGTCCTGCATGCTGACTTATCCTCTATCCTTCTGGGCTTTTCTTTACCCTCTTGTCCTTGGTTCTCTGTGGTTACCCTCTTGGCTTCCTTCCAGCACTTTAGCACCAGTTATACGAACCTATTGCTTTGTTTCATGTCCTATCTTCTAATCTTAATTTTAAAATTGAGACCTCTATTTCTTGACATTTAGTTATTACAGATACCCAAAGGGCTACCAGTCTCTATCACTCTCTCTCTCACACACACACACACCCCTTGTAAATTCAGAACTCCAAGATTCAGTGCAGCGTGTGTTTGTCTTGTCAGGGTGCCTCCATCTTGGCATGCTAATATGGCATGTGTCCAAGCCATATTAGATATTGCATGTTATTAAGTAGCATTATTGGCTTCTAATCACAAAAATCCCAAATCATTTCCCCAACCCATGATAATTAAAAATTCCTCTAGACCTTCCCTGGGAAAGAGTTTTGTGCCCCTTTCTACTGCTAAACTGCTAACTGTAACCATGTTTAGCCATTATTGATGGGAATCTTCCCCCACCCAAGCAAAGGTTCTTTTGGTATCATCCATCCTGCAGGGTTCACTACTCCATCTCTCAGACTGTCCGGAAACTCCCCATCCCACAGCCTCAGCCTCTTGAGTCCGGGGGTTACAGGCATTTAATACCACACTTGGGTTAAGACTCACTGTACGAGCAGTGTTTTAAAAAGTGTTTATTTTGTTGTGCTGAGGCTAGAAGCTGGAACCTTGCTATGTGGGCATCCATTCAGCTGCTGAACTATCCCAAGAACCAAGCACGAACTAAACCAAGGCAGCAGTTTAAGTTATCCTAGGCCACTTAGTGAGTTTGAGGTTAGCCTTTGTACATGAGATTTCAGTTTGGTTACATTTTGATTTGGGTTTTGCATTTAGTTAGAGATCATTGACTGATGGTGTGTCTTCTCTACTGCCCTGTCCTTGCCTGACCTCCTGTCACTTTTTTTTATGTTTTATTTCCAGTCAAGTGACCGTGAGTGGGGACAAGGCTATCAAACCAGGAAAGAAGTTTCTTAAACAGATCTTGCATCAGACAAAAATCCTCAATGTATAGCATGTACTAGAATTTGGAGCAGCTTTGTTGTTTCCTGCCATTTCCTCCCTCTCTCTAAGCACCCCACCCCCATTTCATATTTACACGGAATTTTCTTAGCTAAGTTAATAGGACTGGAGCCTTCGGGCCAGAGATACTGAACCTACTCTGAAATGTAGTGAGTGCAATCCAGAAAAAAATGATTGTCAAGGGACAGCCATCCCTTCTGGGGCCTGAGGTTATGTTACAGTATTGTGGAGTTTTGTTGCTTAAAAATCTTCCTTCTATTCTCAAGGGTACCTCTGCCAAAGTATGACCATCATATCTTGGGGCAGGGGGATTGTTAAAACTTTAAGGTAAAGGGTTTCAATAACTCCTTGCCTATTGCATGTGAACCTCCCCCCCCCCAACGATGTACATATACATACCTGTTGCAGGTGAAAACTGTTCAATGGTGCTGTAAATGAAATGTTTTTGTGGAAATTAAACACAATTCAAAGCAGCTGAATTCGTGGAGTTTTTATCTTTGTGGTGGCTAATTTATTTTTTGCAGTGGCTAATTTGTTACTTAGTAACGCCTCAGTCTGGTTTTCACAACTGGGGCTAGCTGGCCTCTACATTCCATCTCTGCATCAGCTCCTGCTGCACACAGGCCTCCTCTTATCGTTTTCCATGACTGTACCTGAGATAGTCAACTTACAGAGATACTAAGTCTCATCGTGGCTCAGAGTTTTGGAGGTTCTAGTCCATAAACACTCAGCCCTGCTGTCTGGGAGCCTGTGGATGAGACAGTATATCTGCTAGGAGCCTGTGGTGGTGCCAAGAACTTCTCATCTCATAGCTGGGAAGCAAAAATCCAGGGGTGGAGCCACGTTCTCACTCTTTGCTTTACTACCTTATCCCAGAGCCCAGGAAATCTGTAGGCCCCACCTCTTAATATTTCTAGCACCTTCAAGTTGGTAACAGGCTGGGAATTATACATTGACACATGGGATTTGGGGGAACATTCTCTCAAGTGGGAGACTATATCTCACAAAATAAAGTGGAGAATGCTTGAAGAAAACATTTGACATTGAGCAATGGCCTAAACACACACACACACACACACAAGCACACACATACACACACAAATGCATACATATATACACATATAAACACAAGCACACACAGACACACACATAAACACACACATACACACACAAATGCATACACATATAAACACAAGCACACACAGACACACACAAATGCATACATATATACACATATAAACATAAGCACACACAGACACACACATAAACACACATACACACACAAATGCATACACATATAAACACAAGAAAAGACACACACAAATGCAACATAAACACAATAAACATAAGCACACACAGACACACACATAAACACACATACACACACAAATGCATACACATATAAACACAAGCACACACAGAC